TTTAGGGTTTAGGGTTTAGGGTTTAGGGGCGGTGGTGCTGTTGCAGCGCGTATCCTCAGCGCGACAAAAGGAATAGCTTCCCGTTTGCTGCACGTTCTGCTGCTGCTGCTTATTCCTTTTGCTGCTGCTGCTGTTGTTGTTTGTTGCTGCTGCTGCTGCTGTTGTTTGCTGCTGCAGCAGGGCCCCGATGAAGACGAAGCAGAGTGGAGTCCTATGGTGTTGCTGCTATCTATTCTAGCGGGCGGCTACGGCCTAAACCTCGTACCCCCCATCACCCCCACCACCACCACCCCCAGCAGCAGCAGCAGCAGCAGCAGCAGCAGCAGCAGCAGCAGCAGCAGGAGTGTGTGTCGTTGCTGCGTGTTTTTAGAAGGGGGGGGAGGTGGGAACCCCCAAGTGGAGCGTCAGGCTATCGCTCGGCTGCATCGGCAGGGGCAGACCCACCCTGTTGTAGCTATTCGTCTCATCTCGAAGCATACTGGTACCTGCTGCTGCTGCTGCTGCTGCTGTTGCTGCTGGTGTTGCTGTTGCTGCTGCTGCTGCTCCTGGTGCTGCTGCTTGTGCTGGTGCTGCTCTAGCTCCTGGTGCTGCTCTTGCTCCTGGTGCTGCTGCTAGTGCTGCTGCTGCTGCTGCTGTTGCTGCTGCTGCTGCTCCTGCTCCTGCTGGTGCTGCTGTTGGTGCTGCTGCTGCTGTTGCTCCTGGTGCTGCATATGGTGCTACTGTTCCTGCTGCACCTACTGCTGCTGCTCATCCTGCTTCTGCATATGCTGCTTCTGCATATGCTGCTGCACGTGTTGTTCTGGGTGCTGCTGGTGCACACTCTATATTGCTGCACGTGCTGCTGCTGCTCCTGCTGCTGCTGCACTCGCTGCTGCTGCACCTGTACTGTTATGTGTGTGTGTCTGTGTGGGCGTAGTGGAGGAAGTTGTCTACCGGCGGGGGGCAGCGAAGCTGCGGCTGTCAGAGAGAGTGCTTGCAGCAGCAGAGTCTGCTGCTCCTGCTCCTGCTGCTGCTGCTGCTGCAGCGGGAGACATGGGTGCAGCACGCCAACCTCTAAAGAGTCTCCAGTCCTTTGACTGTGGGGTGCTGCTGCAGCAAGATGCTGCAAAGGGGACACCCAGAGACAATCCGCAGCAGCAGAGGCAGCAGCTGGTGGAGTCGCTGCGGTTTGGGGCTGCTGCGCTTGCTGCAGCAGACGGTAGCAGCAGCGAGAGCAGCAGCAGCAGCAGAGACACCCTTGGGGAGGACTGCTTAGGGTCCTTTCCCATAGAAAAAATACTTGCGGATGCATTCAGCGATGCTGGCGACCCTCAAGCTGCTGCTGCTGATGCTGCAGCTTCTGCTGCTGCTGCTGCTGCAGCTGCATGTCCTGATGCTGCTGTCGCAGGCGAGCAAAGCCCTCATGCCTCTGCCGCTTCTGTCGGTCTTGCTCCAACCACAACAGCAACAAAAGCAGCAGCAGCGACAGCAACACCAACAGCAGCAGCAACAGCAGCAGCAGCAACTGCAGCAGCAGCAGCAGCAGCAGCAGGCGAAGAGATGCATGCAAACGCTGAGGAATCGATATACCTTTTTGAGCAGAAAGACTTTACATCCGTTGTTAAGGGGAAAAATCGCTGGGACGATGCAGCAGCTCTCCACTCCCTTGCTGCTGCTGCTGCTGCTGCTGCTGCTGCTGCTGCGCCTGCTGCAGATGACGGTGTAGAAGAGGTGTGGCTTCCCTTACCCTGCAGCAGCTCAACACCTCTTCAACAAAACTAAGACTTAAGAGGCTAGCTAGCTAGCTAGCTAGCCTACTCCCACACAACAGTAGCGGCAGCAGCAGCAGCTGCTGCTGCTGCTGCTGCACAGCGTACCTAAGTTACCGGAAGGTAGAGGCTGTGTCTTGTTGCTGCTGTTGCTGCTGTTGCTGCTGGTTGGCTGCAGGGCAGACTGCGGGCCCCACAGGAGACAGCTGAAGAACGACGCAGGCGGCTGCAGGTACTGCTCCCACTTCATTTGCTGCTGCTGCTGCTGCTGCTGCTGCTATCGCTGCTGCTGGTGCTTTCGCCGCCGCTGCAGTCTCTGCTGTTGCTGCTGCTGTTCTGTGAATGCTTGCGATGCCCGCGCGAGGAGATCGCTTTTGCTGCAGTTGCTGCTGCTGTTGCTGCTGCTGCTGTTGCTGCAGCTGCAACGGGCGCTGCGGCTAGAGAAGATGTGGCGGTCTCAGGGGTACAGGTCTCGCGTGCTGCGGCTGGCAGGGGAGGAGGATCCCCGATACTTCTCTGCAGCAGCAGCAGCAATAGCTGCTGCTGCTGCTGATGGTGATGCTGCTGCTGGGTCTGCTGCTGGAAGCGCACCTGCAGCAGCAGCAGCAGCAGCAGAAGCAACAGCTGATGGTGCGCATCGGCAGATCCCTGCGGAGTCTCTCTTTGTCTATCCGCCTCTTCGAGAGGACGAGCAGCTTCTTCTTAACGAGCCAGCAGCAGCAGCAGCGCCTTACGCCAGCAGCAGCAGCAGCAGCAGCAGCAGCAGCAGCAGCAGCAGCAGCAGCAGCAGGTATCTGCACCTGCGTGTTGGAGATGCTTCTCAGCCGCAATCTTTATTCGATGCCCCTGTGGGGCCTTCCATCATTTGTTTGTTTGTTGCATGCGGCGGCAGCTGGGAGAGCAGAGGCTTCTTTAAGTCTATTGATAGGCTGAGTAATAAACCTCAAAAGACATACTTCCTTGTGCGTCTGCTGCTGCTGCTGCTGATACTGCTGCTACTGCTGATGCTGATGCTGCTGCTGCTGCTGCTGATGATGATGATGATGATGATATTGACGATGCCGCTGTTGCTGCTGCTGCGCTTCTTATTTTTGGTGCTGCTGTTGCTGCGGAAGTGCTCGTGGTGCTTGTGATTGCTCTGCCGCCTGTTAGCTTTGCATGTGCTGCTGCTGCTGCTGCTGCTGCTGGTGGTGCTGCTGCAGGCGCACAAGTGTGGGGACCTGCGAGAGGGCGATGTGCATTTGGTTGAAGTCGCGAAGAATTTGTTTGTGGCGTTGGCTGTTTGCATTCGAGAGAACAAACAAAGAAGAGCAGCAGCAGCAGCAGCAGCAGCAGCAAGCGGGTTCTTCGTGCGGGCCCGAAGCCTCGCGCGGTGTCTCCTCACCTTGTCTATACACTGCAAACAGCAGCAAGCTTCGCTTCATCTGCCTCGCTGCAGCACACCCTGCCTCTACAGTCTACCCAGCAGCAGCAGCAGCAGCAGCAGCAGCAGCAGCACGAATGCGTTGGTATACCGTCTCTTGCAGGAGACCTTCGCTAGGAGACAGACGCACGCCGTCACGTATATCTTGCAGCGGGGACAACAGCAGCAGCAGCAGCAGCAGCAGCAGCAAACCAAAGCCGCAAATGCAAGAGAAGCAAAGCCGCAAGAGACAGATTCAATAGAGACGAAAAGAAAAGTAATATACACAAAACAAACAGCAGAGACAGAGGGCCCCTCCGCTGCAGTCGCGCAGCAGCGCAGCAACCTAAAGGTAGGCGTTCCAGCAGCAGCCATGGCAGCAGCACAGGCTAACAGACACTTAGCAGCAGCAGCAGCAGCAGCAGCAGCAGCAGCAGCGGCAGCAGCAACAGCAGCAACAGCAGAAGCAAGGGTGGTACAGCATCACATTGCAGCAGTATTATTATTGCTGAGTGCTGCTTACTAACATATATATGAAGCCTACTCTTATTCATGCTGCTGCTGCTGCTGCATGTGCTGCTGTTGCTGATGCTGCTGTTGCAATGTCTTGTGGTACTACTGCTATGTGTTGTTCTACTGTTGCTCTGTGCTGTTCTACTGCTGCTACGTGTTGTGCTGCTGCTGCCGCCGCATGTCGTGCTGCTGCTGTTGCTGCATGTGCTGCTGCTGCTGTAGGCGATGGGGAAGCAAGGCCCCACAGGGTGGTGTGCACTGAGGAAGAAACAGCGGATCGAAACGCAGCAGCAGCAGCAACAGCAACAGCAACAGCAACAGCAGCAGCAGCAGCAGCAAGGTGAGAGGAAGCAACAGCCCAATGCTTTTCAAAAGGACGAGCAAACGGCGGAGCAGCAGCAGCAGCATCACGAGGGGTGCCAGCAGCAACAGCAGAAGCAGCAGCCTGCCTCAGGAAGCGAAAGTCTACCTTCTGCAGCAGCAGCCCATGCTGCTGCAGCTGAGCGTGCAGCGCTCCAAGAGAGCAGCAAATATCTCGGCGGCGACAATGCAGCAGCAGCAACAGCAACTGCAGCAGCAGCAGCAGCAGCAGCATCCCCGACGCAGCCCCCATGCAGTTACTCAGCGGTGAAGGAAGAGAAAATTGCAGCAGCAGCAAATACACCACAGACTAATAGTGGGCAGCTGCCAGCATTTAATTCAGGGCCTGCTGCTGCTGCGGCTGCTACTCCGGCTGCTGCTCCCGCTGCTGC